AAACAAAACAAAACAAAACAAAAAACAAACATGTCATCATCAAGGAGAGATAGTTTGACTGTTTTTTTTTCTCTTTGGGTGCCTTTTTTTCTCTTGCCGAATTGTTCTGGCTAAGACTTCCAGTACTATGTTGAATAGAAGCGGTCAGAGTAGCATTCTTCTTCTTGCTCTAGATCCCCAGGAAAATGCTTCCAGCTTTTTTCTGTTCTGCATGATATCGGCTGTGGGTTTGTCTTAGATAGCTCTGTCACTTTGAGGCATATTCCTTCAGTGCCTAGTTTCTCGACGGCTTTTGTCATGGAGGAATGTTGGATTTTGTCAAAAGCTATTTCTGCATCTATTGAGATGATTATACAATTTTTGCTTTTAATTCCATTTATGTGGTGAATCACATATGACTGATTTGCATATGCTGAAGCAAACTTGCATCCCAAGAATTAAGTGTACTTGATCATGGTGAATGAAATTCTTAATGTAGTACTGGTTTTCATTTGCTAGTATTTTGTTGAGGATTTTTGCATCTATGTTAATCAGGGATATAGGCCCACATTTTTTGTTGTTGTTGTATCTTTGCCAGGTTTTGGTATCAGGGAAATGTGGCTTCATAGAGTTAGTTAGAAAGGAGTATCTTCTCCTTGAGTTTTTGGAATAGTTCCAGTTGAATAAATATCAGCTCTTCATTGTACGTCTGGTAGAATTTGGCTATAAATCCATCTGGCCTGGGCTTTTCTTGGTTGGTAGGGTTTTTTTTTAAATCACTGATTCAATTTTGCAACTTGACATTTGTTGGTTCAGTGTTTCAACTACTTCCCGATTCAATCTTGAGAGATTGTGTGTTTCCCGGAAACTTATCCATTTCCTCCAGATTTTCTAGTTTGTGTGTGTGGAGGTGTTCATAAGAGTCTCTGAGGATCTTTTGTATTTCTATGGGATTGGTTATAATGTCACTTTTGTTTCTGGTTATGTTTATTTGACTCTCTCTTTTTTTCTTTTTAAATATAGCTAGCAGTCTATTATCCTTCCAAATAACCAAATTTTGATTTTGTTGATTCTTTGTAAGCCTCACATTATTCTTCTGAACACAGAAGCTACCTCTATTGTCATTGATATATGACATAAAGTGTACATTCAATATTTGGCCTAGATACAAGTTGCAGGTATCTGAATTAACATTCGGGCAAATGAGACAGAGGGGTGAGTAGGACTAAAATCCCAGGGGCTACTGAAATAGAATAATAAATATCCAAAGAATGGTTAGATGTGGAAAGTCTAGAAAAGATGTTAGGAACTTGTTCATTGATTCTTACAATTTGTAGAATACCATATTAGATTCTGAGGATGAGAAGATAAAGTAAGGCACAGTTCCCCTATGGATAGAGTCTCTAGTATAAGAAATTGGGAATTTGCACAAAGGGAAGATACATAGGATAAGATCATTTGTGTGTTGTAAAGTCACCTACTGATTTTTAGATAATTACTATCTTTTAGTCCAAACCAGAACTTGTAATTTCATTCATGATCTAAGAATGGGACTGAAAACTTGCAACCTTCCTGACCAGAAGGAGTAATTGGCACCTACGGCAGTAAATGTGAACTTGTGGGAAGCAAAACTGAGCCTAACCTGTTTTCTACTCCTATAAACCACAAAAATGTGGGAGGATTTTAAATGACAAACTGATGAGCTCAGGTTTAAACATAATGGGTCTGAGGTGAGAGTGACAGCAGTAATTGGTAAAGATACTAACATATTATTGTGAAGTATGTTCTTATACCTAGCTGGTTGAGGGATTTTTTTTTTTATTGTGAAGGGATGCTAAATTTTATCAAATGCTTTCTCTGCATCTGTTGAGATGATCATGTCATTTGTGTCCTTAATTCTGTTTATGTGGTGAATCACCTTTATCATTTTGTGTATGTTGAAACATCATTGCATCCCAGGAATAGAACCTACTTGGTCATGATGTTTTATCTTTTTGATGTGCTGTTGGATTCATTTTGCTATTATTTGGGTGAGGATTTTTGTGTCTATGTTCATCAGAGATATTTACCTCAAAATAATAAAGGCTATAATATGAGAAACCCATAGCCAACATCATACTGGACAGAGAAAATTTGAAAGCATTCCCTCTAAGACCTGGAACAAGACAATGATGCCAATTTTTACTACTCCTATTCAATATAGTACTGGAAGTCATAGTCAGAAAAATCAGTCAGGAGAAAGAATTTATTTCTTTCAGAAAGGAAGAAGTCAAATTATCTCGGTATGCTAACAACACGATTTTATATATAGGAAACCCCAAAATCCTGTTAAAACTCTAGATTTAATAAATGAATTCAGTAAAGTTTCAAGATACAAACCAACATACAATAATCAGTAGCATTTCTATATACCAATAACAATAAAGCAGAGAACCAAATCAAGAAGGCAATCTCACAATAACTACCAAAAATTGTGCCTAGGAATACATTTAACCAAGGAGGTTAAATATCTCTACAAGAAGAACTACAAAGTACTGATGAAAGAAATTGTAGATGACACAAACAAATGAAAAAATAACTCATGGTCATGGATCAGAAGAATTAATGTTATTAGAATTGATGGATACACTAAAAGCCCATACTTCACCACTATGCAATATGTTGTAATAAAACTGCACTTGTACCCTTTAAATTTATACAAATAAAAAAGACACTAACATAACAGCTAATATTAGAATAGCATTTTACAATCTGCAAAGCACATTTATCCACATTTCTTAAGCCCAGTCCTGATCCTATGAGCTGAGGAAGATAACACATAAAAACTAAAGTATAGCATAACCAGCAAAAAGTTTATATAGCCATAGAAATAAATAAACATTTCTGGGGAGGAGGGTAGAAAAATAATAGCAGATGATTGAGCCAGAGATAGAGGGTGGAAGGAGGAATTATGACTGTACAGACATCAGATTCTTTTTCATTGGGGTTTCTTGGGATATTTGTCTTTCATGAGAGCCATTCATGTGTATTAGTGAAAATCATGGGTTTCAACACCTACCAGGATGAAAGGAGTGTGTACTTCTAAATTACCTCAACTCTGGCTGGGCGCGGTGGCTCACTCCTGTAATCCCAGCACTTTGGGAGGCCAAGGCGGGCGGATCACAAGGTCAGGAGATCAAGACCATCCTGGCTAACACGGTGAAACCCTATCTCTACTAAAGATACAAAAAATTAGCCTGGCGCAGTGGTGGGCGCCTGTAGTCCCAGCTACTCGGGAGGCTGAGGCAGGAGAATGGCATGAACCCTGGAGGCGGAGCTTGTAGCGGGCCGAGATCACGCCACTGATCTCCAGCCTGGGCAACAGAGCAAGACTCCATTTCAAAAAAAAAAAAATTATCTCAACTCTGTATCGATTTATTTATTATTCCTTTCATAAACTTAAAAAATATTATCTCTTGGTCAATCCATGTTCTCAGCAACATGGAAATAACCAGAAGAGAATAACAGAATACTAGAAAATCTTCTGGTATCTGTGGCCAGTTTTGCAAGTTGACACGGAAAGCAGAACTCTCATACAGTCAAATGTGTCTTAATTTTAAGTAACTAGATTTCACATTGAAGTATAATAGTGGTTACCAGACTGAGGAGTGGACAGGAAAAGCAAAGATATTAGTCAGTGTTTAAAGTTTCAGTTAGACTAGAGGAATATGTTCTAGTGTTCTATTGCACATCATGGTGATTATAGTTAATAATAATGCATTGAATACTTCAAAATTTCTAAAAGAATAGATGTTAAATGTTCTTACCATAAAGAAATCATAAGTATATTAGGTGATTAATAAGTTAATTAGCCTGATTTAGTCATACAATTTATTTTTGTCAATTAAAAATTTAAAAATAACTGAAATGTAAATTAATTAAAACTTTAAAACACAACTAGAGTTTATAGCAACCGTAAAAGTAGGCTCTGATCTTCCCAGATTTTTTTTCCTTCATTTGGAGTCTATTTTCATAAGCATGAGGCTGTGTTTAATGAGAATATCACTGAACTGGGGGTTAGCAGATTGTATTCTAGCTCCACATTAATAACTTCCTTGCTGTGTGTCTTGGAAAAGTTATCTGTACTTTTTTATCTTCAGTTTCCTCTTCTGAGAATGAGATTTGGATAGCTTCAGTTGCATAGGACCTGGCCCTAGCCCTGCCTATTCCTCATGTCCTATCCCTTCCCTGGATCACTCTGCTGCAGCCACTAGGGCCTTATTTCTATCCTCAATTCATGTCAAGCTCTTTTCAGCCCTAGAGTATTTTCATTTGCTGTCCTCTCAGCCATTGTCCTTCAGGCCAGGTTTAATCCATCACCTTATTCAACTTTATTTTTTTCATTTGTTATATTAATATTTTTAAGCAATGAACTAATTTCTTTGTTTTATTGCTTATCACTCTCCCAAGAATACAAAATCCATGGAAGAAGGCAGAGATTCCTCATAATCCCAAATGCTTAGAACAATATCTAAAACATAGAATGTCCTTAATAAATAGTTTCCAAATGAATGGATGATTTTCTTTTTTATAATTTAACTTTTGTTTTTAAGTTCTGGGGTGCACTTGCAGGTTTGTTACTTTGGTAAACTTGTGTCATGAGGGTTTGTTGCACAGATTATTTCATCACCTAGATATTAAGCCTAGTATCCATTAGTTATTTTTCCTAATCCTCTCCTTTCTCCTATCCTCTACCCTCTGATAGGCCCCAGTGTGTGTTGTTCCCTCTGTGTGTCCATGTGTTCTCATCATTTAGTTCCCACTTTTAAGAACACACAGTATTTGGTTTTCTGTTCCTGTGTTAGTTTGCTAAGGATAATGCCCTCTAGCGCCACCCATGTTCCTGCAAAAGACATGATCTCATCTTTTTTTATGGCTGCATAGTATTCCATGGTGTATATGCACCACATTTTTTTATCCAGTGTAACATTGATGGGCATTTGGGTTGATTCCATGTCTTTGCTATTGTAAATATTGATGCAATGACCATATGCATGCATATGTCTTTATAATAGAATCATTTATATTCCTTTGTATATATCAGCACAGGCGAGCCGGACAATGCCTATATGCTCACAGTATACGTGGGGTATGATACGTGTCCTGCAGAAAGGCAGGCGCGTCAGCAAGAATACGTCTGGCAGGATGATGCAGAACCTTCGAAAGGAGATGCCCATAGCAATCTTGATGATGGTCTTGGGAGTCAAGATGGTGGTATATCTCAAGGGAGAACAGATAGCTACATAGTGATCAAATGCCATGGCCATCAGAATGGCTGATTCCAGGACAAAGCTGTAGTGAAGGAAGAACATTTGTGTAACGCATCCTGGGAATGTGATTTCTCGAGCCCCCAGCCAAAGATACTGAGTGTTTTAGGCACACCAGCGGTGGACAAGGTGAGGTCAGTCATGGCAGCAAGGAGAGAAAGAAGAACATGGGTTCATGAAGACTATGCTCCACCACAATGAGGTAGAGAAGGATGCAGTTTCCCACAACAGCTACAATGTAGATGACACAGAAGGAAATTCCAATCCACATGTGGAATTGCTCCAGGCCTGGGATCCCTACCAGAATGAAGGGCCCTGGATTGTAACTGCTTAGGTTGAAAATGATCATGGCAGATGCAGATGGCATAAATCTCAGCTCCTAAAGACAGAGCATGATTAAGGATAGTTAGAGAAACTTGAGTAACTCTCAGACTTTCAACTAATTATCATTATGGCCTCCTGAAGATAAAGTGACCATATAATTTGTCATCCAAAATAGAACCTTTTGAAATCAACAAAGGTTAAAATTAGCAATAATGGTAGCAACATGCATAAACCAAGATTATTCCAGATACAAATAGATACATTATTGGTCTACCTGAAGAGAATCTTTTCTTTCTTCTGGCCTCCCCCAGTAGTGTACACAGCTACTCCAGGAAGCCTTCCAGACTGGTTACACTCTTCATTGTACACTGTTCTCCCATACAAGTTAACAAAGTACAGAATACACTTTTTCATGGTGGATTATAGCTTATATGACCTTATGGACATCATTATTTAGGATCTGCTTGCTCTGTCATTGCCCCCAAGACAACTGTTTGCTTCTCTTAAAGCTACCTGATGACTGTGGCTCTTAGATTTGTAAGATCAACACCCCTTTATTGCCATCTAAAAACCTAATTCAGTTCAGCAAACACCAGATGAGTTCCTACACTATGCTGGATAACATGTGTAAGCCAAATTTAAATTAGAAAAGTCCCTTATAGCTGAGGCTCACTAACCTTTCTCCTAAAAAAAAAAAAAAAAAATTCAGTAGTTTTCCAACACTTTGTATACTACACAAGTGTATTCTAATAGTGTGGACTTAGTGACACTATCAGTCAAGGTTTCTGTCCAAAAGAAGGACTGCGTTTTTGTGAACATACATCTATTAGAGAGACACATCGACCCAAGCAAGACACATACTCTCTCAAACACAGACCTTTAATATTTACATTCTCAGGCATATCCGGACCTACACTTATATGTTGTCATATATTTTGCCGCCATATATTTACCCATACATAATCTTACACAATTATAAGCCCCTTCTCCTCCCGTCTTCCCCCCACACATGTGCTGAGAATATAAACAAAACATTTCATAATTAGATTTTGTCATTGTCACAGGCTTTGTAAATTCCTAAGACCTCTCCACTGGTCCTATACCTTCTTCCTTCCCTAGTAATGCCTCTACCCACCCCTCATCAAACATCCCATTTCATTTACATAGAAAGATATTTTTTATGTGTATAGATACTCCTTATGCTTATAGATACTCCTTTTGTGAGTAGAAAGACACTACATGTGTAAGTGCTACAGGTAATGAACCATATAGCAAGGCCAGGGGCTTCCAGAATCAGGACTAAAATGAGACTTGTGGTAGCCATATACGTCATATTCCTCATCTGAGAAGGCCAAGAATCATGTTTAAACTTATTCCTACCCCTGTATTTTATGTCCTTCTTGGGCCCAGCTCATAATGCTTTCCATTCCTCAGATCAGAACTTACTTTCTTCATTCTTCTTTAGGTAAAAAGGGACACATGATGCTTTCTCTTTATTTCTTACCCTTCCTTATCTATAGGTAAAAACACCTTTCTTACAACAACTCAAACTCTCCTCTACAGTGTCTTCACATTCTAGATTCTGAGAACATAGTCCAGACTTCAGAGGGTGGGTCACAGCTCAGCCCCCCATCTACTGAGGATTCAAAGTTTTCCTGCTTAGTCCACCTTCATCTTGATTCTCTTATCCACTGGGGCCATAGAATTCACCTGTTGCTAACACTAGAAACCTGACTAGGTTGTTCAGCCTTCATGTTGAAAAATCCTCTTTTATGCCGTTCACATACTGAAACATCATGTGAAAACTCCTCTTCTATGCTACTCACATACTCAAACAACATGTGGCATCAACATACTGAAACTATATGTTAATACTTTGAATCACAGCTCTCCCATCTTGTCTGAGGTCATCCTTTACTCATACATATGTGAGGAAAGGTTTTCTTGAGTTTTTGTATTTCCATGAACTCAAATACAACAGATGTTCATGAAGTCATCCAAAAGCATTCACAAACACACATGGGTGCACAGACAGTTAACTCTCAGGGATCTCATTTAACGATCAGACAAATCCACAACATGGAAGAATCTACAACAGTCTGTTTTCCTTTTTCAAGTCAATGCCATTAAAGGGGAAAGGGGAATATCAGATAAGGAAAATCCATTTCCAGATTAAAGTACATTTAAGAGAAAAACAAATAAATGCAGTACGGTTATATATTTATTTATTTATTTACTTCAGACACAGTCTCACTCTGTCACCCAGGCTGGAGTGCTGTGGCATGATCTCAGCTCACTGCAACCTCTATCTCCCCGATTCAAGCAATTCTCCTGCCTCAGCTTCCCGAGTTGCTGGGATTACAGGCGCTCGCCACCACCCCCAGCTAATTTTTGCATTTTTAGTAGAGACGGGCTTTCAACATGTTGGCCAGGCTGATCTCGAACTCCTGACCTCAGATGATCCACTCACCTCAGCCTCCCAAAGTGCTGGGATTATAGGCGTGAGCCACCATGCTTGGCCTGCAGTATAGTTCTTGATCGAATTCTGTTTAAACAAACCAGGTATTGAATTCAATTAATGAATAATTAGGGAAACTTAAATATGGACTAGGTATAGAGTGATATAAAGGAATTAGTGTTAATTTTATCAGTAATAATTATTGTATTATGGTAGACACACACACATACACTCAGGCATCCACAGTATGTTAGCAAAATATTGGCACAGAGCATGTGCTCTGGAGCCTCAGAAAGCTAGCTTTCACAACTTAATCATGGTTCCACAATTTACTAGCTATGTGAATCTGGGCAAGCTATTTAAACTATATGATATTTGGGTTCCTATGTTTTTAAAAGAAATTAATATTTCTAATTTTTACAATTATTATTAGGACAAAATGATACACACTAAAAAAAAAATTTTTTTTTTGAGACAGAGTCTTGCACTGTTGCCCAGGCTGGGGTGCAGTGGCACAATCTTGGCTCACTGCAACCTCCATCTCCACGGTTCAAGTGATTCTCCTGTCTCAGCCTCCCGAGTAGCTGGGAGTACAGGCGCCCACCACTATGCCGGCTAATTTTTTTGTATTTTTAGTAGAGACAGGGTTTCACTATGTTGGCCAGGCTGGTCTCAAACTCCTGACCTCGTGAACTGCCCACCTCGTCCTCCCAAAGTGCTGGGAATACAGGCGTGAGCCACCACACCCGGCCGAAAAATATTCAATATAGTACCTGAAACATAGTAAGCATATAACAAGTTTTACTTCTTTATATTAGGTTGTATTTATATCATTAGTATTATCATTAACAGTCAGACCACACAGTGGAGAAGAGAACAGAAATAGCAAGATGGATAAAAATTAACAAGAGCACCCCTGGGCATACACACATACCAGCACACTTAATTCTACATTTTAGGTTAGAGTTACGGAGTCTTGTCATATGTCTTGAAACAGAAATTTCCTAACACTGCTAACTGTGGTCATATTTAATCCAACTGTATAATTATCCATCTGTTCTGATCTATTGATGCTTATTCAGTGGAGCATATACACAAGTATTGGAGATCAGGACCTCAGTTTATAAACAGGAGTTGCTCAGGGAAGAAAATTATAGTGCCCAGCCCATGGCCCCTAAGAAATAGAGCCCTGGCTTTTCACTCACTTTCTCTAAGTCTTGTCCCAATCAAAGCCCTTCAAATAGCCAATACTCACCAAATCTTGGGGATCAGGCCAAAGGGAAAGAAGAAAGAACGTGTTGACAAAACCTGCAAGAGAGCAGACACACCAACCAAAAAAAATAAATAAAAATAAGTAAGTGGAAGGAAAAGGAAGGACGTTAGAGAGGTTGATTCCCTGTCCATTTATTTTCTCTGATCACTCACTGCTCTCTGTGGGGAAAAGGCAGGTAGTCAGGGGATTAGGGACTCTGACATGCCTTCTTCTCATCCTCAAGGGAAGAAAATGAAAAAGATTCTATTAACTTTTTTAATGTCTTTGAGTAAACACTGCTTTAGGGTACTTTATTTATTTATTTGTTTGTTTGTTTATTTGTGAGCTGATGTGTATGTGAGTGGAAAGCCGTGTGGATGTGCCTGTCATATCACCCAGGTTTCAAGTTCATGCCCTCACTTACCAGATAAAGGACTTTGGACGAGTTACTTAATTTCCATTAAAAGATGGTCATATTAGCACCTATCTCTCAAGATTTTATGAGGATTGACAAATTAAGTAGGGTACTGCTTGTGAAAATGCTTAACATATTGGCAAACTCATAGTGTAGAATAATAACCTAGGGCACCTGTTAAAATAAAAATTATATTGCCCACATGAAATAATCCTAACATTATCTTTTAAAAATTCCAGTGACTTTAGGGGTACAAGTGTTTTTTGATTACATGGCTGAATTGTATAATGGTGAAGTCTGGATTTCTAGCGTACCTGTCAACCGTATTGTGTAGTGTGTACTCAGCAGGTAATTCTTCATCCCTCACCCCTCTCCCAACCTCTCCTCTCCTGGGTCTCCAGTGTCCATTATACTACAATGTATGCCCTTGCATACCCATAACTTAGCTCCCACTTATAATTTTTAAAAAATTAAACTTCATTAAAAATTATAAAAACAATTTGAGCAAATAAAATATATTCTTATGGAAAAACTGTTAGGTCTACCTGCTGGTACTGTCAGGAATTTCTGGAAGTCCAGATATCAATTTTTACCTGAGAGGCTTTTATCCCACAATTCTGAAAGCCAAGTCAGTTTCTGTCAATGTTTGTCAAAGGTTTGCTAAATATTGTTGGATGTGTTAATTAATAAAGATCGCCAGGAGTCCACTCAGTACTCTGAATGTTCTATTATATCTGGAATAAACCAGAACTAAAGAGATTAGCATTGTATTGGCTCCCGACAGAATTTTTACCTTCTGCTGAATAAAAATTGAGGTTACTTCACTTCTCTATACTAGGATAAGGGACTGAAAAGTCACATGAACTTGTGTATTCTGTAAGAATGTCATTAATTGCATCACTTACTGCCTTTTCTAAGAGCTTTCTGAAGATATTTCTCTGTTCTTCATATCAAGAGTAGTTTGGCTTCTCTAACAATTAACTGTCTGAACTTATAGCTATCATGAATGATTTAGCTAATCATGTTTAACTCTCACACAGACTGCTAGAAAGCTTACAGCTGAATTTCTGACCCACATATAATAAGAGAACAAAAATTCATAGCAGGTGGAAAGTGTATTTTCAGCCTATTTTTTGTCTTAATTTTTAAAAATCTGTCTATTTTCCTTTTTGCCTTTTCTATTTATACTTTGTAATATGCCACATAACAATGTTTCTGAACAATGGTCCCATAAGATTACAATACCTATTATAGAGTACCTTGTCTATGTTTAGACATGTTTAGATGCACAAATACCATTGTATTACACTTCCCTGCAATATTCGGTATAGTAACATGATGTACAGTTTCGTAGCCTAGGAGCTATAGAATATATTATAGAGCCAAGGCTATATCACACAGATTTATGTAAGTATGCTCTATGAGATTTGCACAATAATAAAATCACCTAACAATACATTTATGAGACTGTAGCCTCATTGTTAAGTGGCACCTGACTATATTTTTATTTATGGTATGCAAAATACATCAAATAATTTTGGAAACAATGTATGTAGCTATTGTCACACGTTAAGAGATAGAATATAAATTCAAATACAATTCTCTGGGTCCAAAGGACATCCTTTTCTATTAAAACTATATGTTGAGAGCCATTGTAGAAATAAAAATTTAATGATACATGAAAAGGGTAGTAGCACAGGGATGGCAAAGTGGTCTTAAGGTAAAAACACCATGAATGACTCTGACATTTTGAGTCAAGTGAAAGCAGTGAGGGTTTGAACTACTGGGGTAGAGCCTGCAATCAGCTGGGGAACCCAAGAGGTTATTTAGAAAAAAAACACAGGTTTTGAGGACATATCAGATTTGAAGGGGAAAGAAGACATTGACTATCATTACTACCTGGCAAACACCTAAAAATAATTATTATTGACCGAGTGACTGAATGACTCACTATGACCAAGTTATGCATATTGGATTTGAAGAGATAATGAATCATACAGAGGTACATTTTTGGCTTGTGACTACATCTCTATGAAGATACAAACATGAAAAAAAAATTGAGACCACTAGTGCTTCCAATTGGTCAAGTCTCAAACCCACTTCTTAGTCTGTATATGCTTTACCATTTTACTAGCCATAGGAATTTGCCTCCCTCCTTTTATTCCTTGTGGAAAACTCCACCCACCTACATCTCATTTGGCTTTCTCAAGGTTGAGTTAAACATTGAGTTTTATCATTGCCTTATCCCTTTGCTTAATATAAACACCTGCACTCTTAAGTTAATAATTTTATGATTATTTGCCATTTATTTATTTGATAAGCATTGTATGTCCCTAGTGTATGCTACATATTATACTTGATATTGTCTAGAAATTAATAGATGTGAACAAAGTAAAAACTCAGAACCCTGCAGAATCATCAAAGAGGTAATTTACTGCCTTGCTATGGTGTATAAATAAACTACTATGATATATACATCTGAAAAACCATTGAGATTTGCCAATCATTACATTGTCTTCATTAAAAGTTTTATAATCACTTTAGAGCAATCATAAGGAATTACAAAAGTTCTTGTTTCTAGAAGTCAAAAAATATTTATTATTTCCTAGACTCAGAACTTACTTTGCTATAACTGGAATGATTGAGTAGACTTCTGCCTCAAATCACAAAGAAAGCAAAACTCAAGTTCTCGTTAATAAATTTTAGTCTGTCCTTTTTCTTGGGCATCTGAACACAGGTTCAGTCTTTGACCCAACATACACTAGGAACTTGTCCCTACCTCCAAGAGCTCAGGCACCTATCACTGGGACCCCTTGGGAAACAGCAGAAGAAGGATTCTGTTCCAGATCTGCTTGGTCTTTACTCTGTAGACAATAAGGTTGAAAGCAGGTGGGATGATTACGTAAAGGTTGGCAAACATCATATGAAAGGTATGAGGGACATTATGCCCAAAGCGATGAGCAAGGATGGAGAAGAATGCTGGTATATAGAATACGAGGATAACACAGACATGGGAACCACAGGTGCCAAGGGCCTTCTGCCGGGCATCTCGGGAGGGGAGACAAAAGACAGCATAGAGGATGAGGGTGTAGGAGACAGCAATGAGGATCACATCCGTCATCACTGTCATAATAGGAATACAAAATCCATACCAGATATTGATGGAGATATCAACACAGGCAAGCTGGGCAACACCTATGTGCTCACACTATGTGTGAGAAATGATATGTGTCCTGCAGAAGGGTAAATGATTCACAAGGAAAACACACGGGACAAAAACACAGAGACTTCGGAAACATATTCTCACAGCAATTTTGATAATGGTTTTGGGAGTCAGAATAGTAGTGTATCTCAAAGGTGAGCAGATGGCCATATAGCAGTCAAATGCCATGGCCAGCAGTATAACTGAGTCCAACACAAAGCTATAGTGCAGAAAGAATAATTGGGTGAGACAGCCAGGAAAACTGATTTTTGGGAACCAAACCAGAAGATGCTAAATGTTTTGGGGACACATACGGTGGACAATATGAGGTCAGTAATGGCCAGCATGGAAAGGAAAAAGAACATGGGTGCATGAAGACTGTGCTCCACCACAATGAGGTAGAGAAGGATACTGCTGGCCACGACAGTCACGAGATAGATAAAGCAGAACGGGATGCTGGTCCAGAAGTGGTACTGCTCAAGTCCGGGGATGCCCAAAAGGGTGAAGGGGCTTGTACCATGGTCACTCACATTGTACATGGTCATTAAGATCAATAACTTCTGTGTCCTAAAAACAAATTGTTTATAATGAACATGAGGAAATTGTATGGTAATTCTTCCTCCACCACTTCCTCGGGGCTGGTCCGTCTCTTTCCTATATTCCAAGAAAAAACCTCTCATTGATATTAAGAGCAATGTTCATCACTTGAAGAAAGACTCTCAGACCCAAAACTTCTGATACTAATCATCCAATTACTCTAGAATCTTCTTCAAACTGCATAAACTGCTATTCCCATTTTAATGACTGAGTTCTCCCTGGGTCAATGGAAGTTGCTGCTCTATAGATATGAGTATAGAGAAAAGTAGTCTAACTACTTGCAGGGATAGAAAGAAACTGAAAAATACTGGATCACAGTTGGGAAAATGAGGTAATTAATAATTACAGACTCCCACTATGTGCCAGGTTCTTGAAAAATATTATCTTATTTAGAGCTACCTTCTGAGATATGTATTTTTATCCCCCTCATTTTTTTTTTTTTTTTTTTTTTTTTTTTTTTGCAGAAGCTGAAACTGAAACGTAACCTTACCTAACAACTCACCTTTAGTAACTAGCAGAGCCAAGGTCATTAGATTCCACAGCCACTACTCTTTCACGTTGCTGTTACACCAGGTGACTGCCTCAACTCTCTGTGAGATGCCAAGAATTCAGAAGAGGCATGGAAGTGTAGCAAAGGATGTAAGGAAACGGATCACTGGAACTGTAATTTGTCCCGCACACTGACCCCACCCCAATTTCAATGACTGTTCTGATATCCCAGACGCTACACAGAGAGACTTAAGGCGTGTAGACCAAAATGTTCTCTGAGATTGTGATGTTTGATGCCTCCCATATGAATGACATGAGAAAGGGTATGAGGCTCAATCTCAGTCCATCCTTAGGAATTAATGAGGGAATCTTGCTTAAGTATCAGAGAAAATTGGTTTGTGTGCTTTTTACAAACACAGAGGGGACCTCTAGTGGAAGAAAAATAGAATTTATATATTCTAAATCCTAGGTCAAGCTAAAAGCAAATAAACTTTATAACAAAACTAATATTTTTTGAAAAATTTAATATACTACATGAGACCACTTTTGTAATTTTCTTAACAATTCTATGAGACAGGTAATAATATTATCCACATTTTAAGAATGCAGAGAAAAGTAATTTGTCAAAAGCCACACAAGGAGGAAACGGTAGCACTGGGAATCAGACCCATGAGTCTTTTCCTAGACTCCTCTGTATATAACCAAAATTATCTACAGACTCTGTGTGGCAAATAACACATATAATATCGGTATAGCAAGAGATACAAAATTAACCAACATATAGAAAACAAAAATATAAAACAAGTTAACAACATAAAACCAAATACATCATTTATGCTTATAGATTGCTTGAATTCTTCTGTCAAAAAGCACAAAGATAAATAAAGTTTAAAAATTCAATTATATGTCACATGAGAAAGATCTAAAACAAAATGATGCAGAAAGGATAAACAAGTGTGAATAAACAGGATAAAAAGGATAGACAAGTGTGTTTCAGACAAATTTAAATGTGATGGAAGCAAGTCTAGCAAAATGGAAAGCAGAAACAGTAAAACTTAACTTAGCATTAAACAGAACAAAAGGTACTTTGCACAGTTAAAAGGAACACTTCTTAATGAAGGTGTAAGTCATGCTATTGGTACACATCTCTTCTTAGCACTCTAGATACTGTTCCTTAGTGATAGTCAATTCATTTACCCACTTTTTAAATTTTTTATTATTTTTCATAGTTCTCTTGTAATTCCTCTTGATTGTTTAAAGACATATGTCTAGACATTAACTGCAGTTTAAAATTCTTGTGACTCATCTACTCAAAACTTTGTCTCCAATGGATGGATTTATATGTTACTGAGGCACAATCACCTAATTCCAGGGTCATATATTTGAAGCACTGTAGTCCAAAATTGATCAACTTCATAAATCACAAATGTAGACACTGCACTTTGTATCTATTCAATCATGTGATTCAGTTATTACCAATTTGTCCTTGAAAAACCTGAAGCCCTCTAGAATGACTTTTTTACTACCATTCATTCAATGCCCAGGAGTCTTTACATTCTGCTCTGTTCAGGTTAAAATCCGTGATTCATCGTTTCAGCCACTCTGTTACCAACATTTTGCTTGCCCTTGTTCCACTGACCTTCCATCACATATGTGTAATAAAATCCCCTGCATTATTCCACCAAATAAGTACCCTAGGTCCAAGAAAATAAGGAAACAAGCAAACTTCTTAACTAGACGTATTTGTGTTTCCATAATCTCATGATAATCAGTGTTAAACTTAACTAGTGAACTATCCAGTGATCCAACAGCATAATCTTGCTCAGCTCAATCTCTATGACTCATTGTTTCCTACACTCCTCAAAGCATTCTCATCTCACTCCAACTCCCTTTCTCAACAGATAACTTTTCATTTTACTTCACAGAGAAATTAGGAACCATTAGGTATGAAATTATATAAGACTGAAACATCAGTCTTACATGGGAAAATTATTATTTTACGATTACCAAATATATGACAGTAATTTGATGAAATTCATTTTGTTATTAAAGGGAATGCTGAAAATTTTAGACTTTCATTAGAACCATTTTAATTAATATCCCCAACTTCTAGAGGAGTTTACTCAGTATCCTTTAATGAATAACTAAGAATCTCATGTTTTCTGTTGGACCAGCTCTAGGCTCATGAATCACCTGGAGTTGTCCTTTGATTTTTGAAAATAAGTTGGGCAATCTGCTATTGATTACTATCACTTGAAATATTGGTTGGTGACATAAATTGGCATAGCAGCGATTATTGAGTTACATTCACCAAAGAATAGAAATATGTGCACAACAATATATGATTGTCCTTTATTCCATATTAAAACATTTTTCTAATTTTTTTAAAGAGCCAAGGCATTTTTCCTATTCACAAAGATCAACTTGACAAATAATATCTTTGATGTGATGTCTGAAGCTTTTAAAATGGAAGAAGTTACGTGTGTGAGCTCAGACTTCAAAGACAAGCAACCGAGAAGTCTAGATCAAGATCTAGCTACCCACAGAGGATAAGATTTGAGAAGTACCCGTAGAATCCCTGTCTTCTCTATCAAGAGCACTGATTCCCCAGACCACTTACTTAGGAGCATCTCTGATCTGGAGTCCTACTTCAAGTTAAAAGACTAGAGCACCCTCTTGAATAGACTCTATTAAAATCCTGTGTCATTCAGGAGCCCCTGGATGCTGGCATTTTCATCATGCATGGTTCTGTGAATTAGATAATTACAGCTGCAAAATGTCACTGGGGAAGACTCAGAGAGCAAGGCACAGAGGTGGGCATTATTCCTGGGAAAGGGCACAAGAAGGCTGAAAGTTGGAGAAATCTTACAGGGGACCTGTGGGGAAATTCAGATTCAGAGACTTGAAATCCTGGGTAAAGGTTACACTCTGAAATAAAATTACTTACTTTACCTCCTGCCAACTTGGCTAGCCCACAATCTAGGTGGTTACAGTAACTTCTATGTGTCTGTATGTCCAAGTTCACCAGAATTGTTCTGCTTACTACCTGTGCAATCTAGCTCACACACTTCCATCCCTTCCTTCAACCACAGATGGGAGACTCCCACCGCGCTACAGGCAGGATGAGCCTGAGAGCGTTTATGGCTCCTAAGAAAGTCCCAACGGAGTGACCTCTGGGACTTGTTGCCTGCCCCTGTCTCCAGCTAAATAGCACACAGGGACAAGTGAGCAAAGAAGACAACAGTAAACTTCTTTTCTGTTTAACTGGCAGTAACATCTTGAGTGTCTGTGTACTGAGCAGTGAGCCCCATAGAGGTGCCTAGCATGCAATACTAAAGGAAGCACTTGAAACCCTGAGAGTGAGTCCTTTGTTCCTTAAATGTTGCACTCTAGGCATTTCCCCTAATTCCAGCTCTGGAGGAAGCATTATTTAATTCTTCCCTCTTAGCATGTGTCATCATCTCTGCCTGGGCTACAGGGAAATTCTCAAACTCATTCTACTGTTTCTAAAACTTCATTTCAATTGCATCTTACTGCATTCCAATAGCAAGTCTACACAGAAGCCGGAATGCACTTTTCAATATGTCAATTTCATTCTGTCACACTCTCAAGTAAAATCCTCCATCAGCCCCCTCCCTCCCTTAGTCTTCAGGATAAGATTCAAGTTCTGAATCAGGAAGTACAAGCCTTGTTTACTTCTCCAAACAAATCTGACCTTCCGCTTCTTTTCTCTCAGTTTCAGCATATCTAGGGTGCTGTCCATACCAGGGTACATACAATTCCCCAAATCTCACAATATTCTCACTTAATCCTTCACATTTGAAATAATGTCTTCTCTGCCTACCATATTCCTATTCCTGTCATTTGCCTTGAGAATTTCTCTTTTTCCTTCAAAACACAGCTCCAGTACAAGGTTCTTGACCATCTTGCCCTCTTTCCTAATTACATAGTAACTTCTCTGTGCCCACACAGATCTTTGTGCTTTTTGAGGTTACGTATTATTTGTCACTCTGCAGTGGAATTGCCTCCTTCTGTGTGTATTTCCCTACTAATCCGTGATCTCCTTGAGGACAGTTAAAAAAAAAAAAAAAAAAAAAAAAAAGCCTTAGTCATATCTGCATCCACAGTGCTTGTTACACAGTAGAATAAAATATAAAATTAAATTAAAACTTAAAAAAGGTCACTATGTAATGTACTAAATAATGTGCAAATTGCATTGCATATAACATTGCAATCAATCATCAAACCTGTGAGGTAGCATAGATCTTCATACACGCATGAGGAAACTGAATCTTGGAGTTGTTAAATAATTTTTCCAATTTCATCCACAGAGAACTGATGGAGTCGGTGTATGGCAGCCTGGAGTCTCTGGCCTTCAAGTCTTTTCTCGTAACCATCTATACTGTCCTGTAGATTGCCTCAACAAATGGTGGGTGGACAAATGCATACATACAAGAATAGCAAACTGGGACAGAGCAAGACTCTGTCTCAAAAATAATTTTTTTTTTAAAGTTAAATGTGAAACAGCAAAAACCTCATCCTTTGTCTACAGCCAAGTCTTCCTATCACCAGCCTTCTTTCTTTTCCCACCGGGGACCACTTAGCTATAGTGAGGTGTCCTCCTGTAGCTTTTCCCTATCAGCTGTGTGTCACCTGCACTGGATGGAGAATGACAAGACACTATTCAGCTGCTCTATCTGCACCAAGTGGTGTGACTGACTGATGCCTCTTTGCACTTCCCATCCTTCAGAAATCCCTGTGAGGATTTTCAAAGAAATTTTACCTTGCTCCAGAACCATGGAAACTCTTTCTTCTCAGTTGTCTGTACAGACTTTTGGCATCTTTTAGGGTATAGAGAAATTACTTTTGTGTTTGTCCTGTGTTGGGGATGTTTACATTAATTTTGCCAAAAACTTGGGATGCTTGGCTAACAGCAAGCCTTGGAATTGAATTTACAACTACATAGATATTGAGAGAACTCCAGAGAGATTTACCTAACTTCAGAAGTGTGGAGACATTTCTGGGTTGTGAAGCTTGTGAGAATGGTCTTATTTTTTTCTGGAATATTTATACCCTGTTAATGTCTAAGGAAACATTCTGAGAAGGAGGGAGGTGTGTGTGTAGGGGTGGGTCTAGGGAATAGTCTTTCTGGCTTTTGTAAGCAAAGAAAATACATATTTCTTCATTCTTTGCTTATAATGCAAATATAGCAAGCTATCGTACATTTGACCTGGCCTGCATTGCATTGTCTCAGGAGTAAGAATCAGCTGTGGGGGACCATACAGTTATTATTTTCTTTTTAAGTGAATAATAACAATGTCTCTGGTCCAGAATAATTTGTGTGTTCCTTCAAGATGAAATTGATAAAATGAATCTTTAAAACACAATATAATTCAGTGCAAACTTCTAATGTAAACGATCTTCAACTTTCACATAATGCAACCCTGTATATTTTGATTGACCATTGTCTCTATGCTAATTCCTATCTCTTCTTCCCACTCTCCTTTCTTCTTTACTCCCTATAGTAATACAAAGCTATATACTTAAAAATTATATCTAAATCACAATAAAATAATGTGTTATCATACTACTCTCAAAAATACGATCAAGTTTAGGAATATGAAAGGTCATTGGGGTAAAACTAACCAAGGGGACATAAAAATCAGAGTTCAAAAGAAAAGAGCCAGTGAAGTGGTTGAAGCTCAAGTGCAGCCTTACAAGGCCTGCAGTCATGGCCTGAGCCACACTCAGACTTGTGAATTGGCCTTCAAGAGGACTATGGCCAGTGGTAAGCTGATGAAAGCTTA